GGCTCCAGAGTGATGCAGAAAACACAGGGTTACCAGACCATCCAGATAAAACGTCCATCAGGCCGAGCAGAGCAGTCTCCCTATATAGGCTTCTCTGCCCCTGCCAGGAACAGGAGGGGCTGGGAGGAAGCGCTTCCTCTAGAGGCTTCCTACTGTGCCCTTCGTGCCATCAGCATCTCCCGGATATTGTCCTCAGCTTCCTTCACACTCCGCTCCAGGTAGGATTTTTTCTGCTACAATATGAGAAAGAAACAAGGGTTAGGACCAGGGTGAATGTGCCAGGTTGGCAGGTGCAGTTTTCATGCCCAATGGTTATGGCTTCTCTGACCACTGACTTCCAGGAGCCTATGGTCTATTGGGAACCAGGTATACACACCTGCCCAGTGGGTTCCCCCACCTCCGACCCATGAGCACAAGGGAGGGGTCCCTTGGTACAGGAAGCAGGAGTGCTCTGCGGAAGGCAACAGCACTCTTCCCCCAGAAGGAAGCAGACTCTAAAAACAGGCGTCTTGGTACATGAAGTTATACCAGATAGACAAAGGCCAGGAAATTCCAGGACAAAGCGCTGGCCCCATAACAGACTGTCTCTCAAGGTTTTCCATGGCCCAGGCCAGGCGCCTGTAGCTGCCACTGCTGCAGAATGGACAGCATACCCTCTGCTCTGTCCAGTGAGATGACAAGCTGCGTTGAATACTGAGAAGCTGTATCACACGTCTCACCAAGGCAGATGAGTCAGGATGAAATCTGCTTTTCTACTGAAACTGCTGCTTGCCAGGAATCCAGGACAGTGACACACTGAGTAAAACAGACCTTTTGGAAGTTTACCTCTTACCCCATCTGGGTCCTAAATTAAAAATCTCAACTTAGACAAAGAACTTTACTTTCAAGAGACACATCTGGACCAGGATTATGAAAGATTAGTCAAAGGAAATGATGTCTGTACATTATTTGCCCTGTGTCACCCCAGAAATATGGTGGCCTCACCACTGGTCCCTGCCCTGAGGACATGGTTATGGCTGCATTCCCACTTAAGACATGAAATGAAAAATAATCCCCTCCCAGGCAAGGTGCATGTGACTGGGCCACACTAGAGCCAGCAATGCAGAGCCCTAGCGCAGATGCAGTTGGTGAGTGCCATACCTCACCCTTACCCCCTTTACCCAAGCAGCTGGCGGTTCAATTTGACGACTAAAGCGCCCAGATAACCATGGAATCCAGAGAAAGGCTGGGGCAGAAGGCAGGGGAGCAGCCTGGTCTCAGGCCTTGCTTAGGAACTGATCCCCAACCTCTGACACAGGAAAACACAAATGAATGCTTCTACTGCCCGAGGCCTTCACCATTAAACCTCTCTGGTGCCCCTCTACATACTCCTGCCTCTACCATCTCCCACTCTCTGTCCAGATATTTATTAAATGATACATTTAAAGAATTAATAGTTTCCCTTAGGTGCCAAATATTGTGGTACCAACAAATCTTTATCACAGTTCTTGTGTGAACCTCTGGTTCCTGTTTGTCTCCTAACTTTAAATTTCCTGAAAGGCTAGAAAGAGCCATATCTCTTTACTCATCTCCCACACAATTCCTCACCAAAGAACAGGTGCTCCACAAAAACTCATGGTGACCATGATAATTCAATGGCCATAAATGTAGACTGTTGCTAAGGAAATTTGTTTAATTACATCGCTAAACCTGATACAGCCCTATCATTGTGGTATCAGAGTGTGAACTTAAACTTCCTTTGTAAACAATCATTAGATTTTACTTGCAGTGAGTGAAAACGAGGGAAATACTAAAAACTCCTGACACACCACTGAAGAATGTACAGGTACTAATGTTGCAGAGCAGCCAGAGCAAGTGCCAGGCATCGCCTGGGCACCTTTTGGGCCCTGGCTGTGCAGGAATCTAAGGAAAAGGCTAGTGGAGCAAGCAGGGCTCTACACCTGCATTAAGTAGTCATCCACGTATGCAGCGACCCAGGTCTGCTGCGCTCCATCGCTGCCAACTTGCGCCAGCTAGCAAAACCACAAACTTGGAACATCAGCAGTAGCTTTTCTCCCTACCGCCCGCACAGGCTTCTGGCCAATCAAATTCAGGTTGTAATTCTCAGCTTTAAAATTCTCCACTCTATCACATCTCTTCCTTCTATCCTCCACTTCTAGTTTCATTACTTTTCTATGATTTTTACCACTTTTCCTAAAGTCTGCACGTTTGAAAAACAATGTAAAATGAACCTGTCTATCTTTAAATCTTTAAAGAGACATACTGGACACTAACTTTTTATCCTACCACAGATGGGGCATTCCTAGCATAGAGGGACCTACTCCCTAACTGTATTTCAATAGTTCCTGTCTCACCCTCAAACACATCTAAGCCCAGAAGACCCTCATAGTCAAACCTGGACCAAAACACTTGATGTGTGTTGAACTGTGTCTCACAAAAAGATATGCTGAAGTCCTAACCCCCAGTACCTGTGAATGTGACCTTATTTGGAAATAGGGTCTTTGCAGATGTAACAAGTTAGGATGAGTTTCTACCACATTAGGGCAGGCCCCAAATCCAACAATTAGTGTCCTTATAAGAAGGCCACATAAAAACACAGGGACACACAAGGAGAATGCCATGCACTGATGGAGGCAGAGGGTGGAGGGATGCACCTGTAAGATTAGGAAGGCCCAGGATGGCCCACAACCACTATAAGCTAAGAAGAGGAGAGGATTCTTCCCTAGACCCTTCAGAGGCAGCATGGCCCTGCAAAACCTTGATTTCAGGCTTTTAGTCTCCCTAACTGTGAAAAAATAAATTTCTGTTGCTTTAAACCAAGTTTGTGGTAGCTTCTCATGCAGCCCTAGGATATCAACACTGTACCTCAAATGAGAGATGCTCCCTCACACAGAGTTTATCCCAAGGTTCTTCTGCACCCACAGCTGCTGCCCACACTGAATCGTAGAGGCCTAGATAAGGATACCTAAACGTTAGTGTGCTAGGATCACACTTACCCAGGAATAATTGTGGTAGAACTGACCCACATACACATGAGACCATCAGACAGAATGAAGGAAATTAAGGAACCAATGATTAAGTTAAACGTTTTCTGCCTTGAATCTCCACAGTTTCTTAAAACCACTACGCAAATCAGAAACTCTGTGGACCCTGGTCTTCCCCATTCCTGTAAATAACAACTCCATTCTTGCAGCTGCTCAAGACAAAAATTTTGATGTCATCATCAAATCTTTCTTTCACAGCTGACACCCAATCAAACAACAAATCCTGTCAGTGTTATCTCAGAATGTATCCACATTCTGACCTTAATGAAGAAACTCCTAAGTGGTCTCCTTTTTCCTGTCCTCAATCCTCCTCCCCTCCAGTTTCTTCTGCACACGGTGGCCAGAGTCATCTTTTAGTATTTAAAACTTTCCAATGGCTTGCCATCTTTCTCAAAATAAAAGGGAAAGCCTTTTCAAAATTCCGGATATAGTCTAGCCCTGACGTGACTCTCTGACCTCCTGGCCCATGTTGCTCCAATCCACCAGCCATGCTCCTGCCTGTTCTTTGCCCTTGGTTCCCTCTCTTCCCCAAATACAACTTGCTCCTTCACTTCCTTCAGGTCCTTCTCAAATGTCACCTTATGAGAAAGGCCTTCTTGATCACGTGCAGCTCCACACTCTGTATTCTCTTCACCCTGATTTTCCTCCCTAGTATGTGTTGCCACCTGAAGCAATATTTGTCTGTCTTCCCTTAGGAAAAGAAAAAGTTCATGAGAGCAAGACTTTTGCTCTACTCACTGACATACTTACTCCCAGTGCCTACAAGAATGGCTGGTTCATAATGGGAACTCAATAGTCGTTGAAAACAAGTGCATTTATCATGGGAAATGATGCCTTACTGGTTTACCTGTACACACACTCCTTTTTAGTTTTCCCTCCCAACTTGAATGAATGATGAACACCCACCAGAGGAAGCAAAGGCAGAAACTGACGATTCTCCTTCAAGGTGGTTTTCAGTTTGGGACATGATCTCTAACCTCCGCCCCTGGCTATACACAGGCTTATCACTCAGAGCTCACTGACCCTGATGGGGACATCAAAGCCCTGCTCCAAAAAAACAAAACAGGCCCTAAGGGTCAAGCCCTCACACTTTATCAGGTCAACTTATAAAACCATAAAACAAACCATCCCAATTTCCCACATCCTGGAGTCGGAAATCCTTGAGAAACTGCTCCATGTGATGTCAACGTCAGGGCTGCTGCGCACTACAAGGGATAATGACTGCATTGGGAACTCCAGGAGGTATTTTAACTCCCCCAGCACGAGCCCCAGGAAGGCATTTGCTGGCCTCACACTGCAGCACCTTTCTGTCTTGCTGAGCAATCTCCCTCAGAACCCTTTCGCTAGGAAATTCTCCAGTGGCATCAAACCACAGAGCTCTGGGTACAATGACATTCCTGTGGGACCTTGTCCTGACGTGAAATTCTGAGATTTCCTGTGGGGCTCAGCACAGCCAGGGAAGTGACATTGTTGGAGTTATTGCTCATCAGCCTGAGGTTCTTCTTTCCGGGAGTCAGACAGGGGCTGATGTTTCACTCTCATCCTCTCACAAAGGGAAGAGGCTCAAGTCCCTAGAACTCTTACGACATGACACAGTCTCTCAAATAGACTCCTGAGGTAACTCATCTTGTGACACTATCTCTACAGACTTTTTTCTTATGAACTTTGTCTCCCTCTCTTTCTCTAAATTAGTATTTTTCCTGCTTCTCATTTATTGGAGTATAGAAATGTTTTTCCCCCCCTCTCACTTTCTATTTCCCCACCTGTAAAATGAGGATATGGACAATACCAAATTCAAAACTCAAGAGCCTCAATGATTCTCGTGTTCTCTCACTTTGCAGAACTATAAAATGGCCAGAGGGGGCCAGCTGCCCATAATGGGGAAGTTCAGCAAGAGGCCAAGAATTCACTGAAGGCTGGGGAGGCATGCCTTGGCAGATGGTGTCAAATGTGAAGAAGGCAGAGAAATAAGAGGAGGAAGAGAGAAACAAAGGTAACGCAGGGGCACAATTAGAGAAGTCAGAAAGGGAAATGAGACAGAGATGGGCAGAGCCCTGAAACTGCAAGTGCTGTGATGGCCTGAATGGGTGAGGGGCACTCACCAGAGGCAGAAAATGCAGGCCAAACCTGATCAGGAATTTGAAGATACGAGACAACTTATCCAAGGACACATGTCCACTTGTGAAGTC